ATAGATAGATAGATAGATAGATAGATAGATAGATAGATAGATAGATAGACAGACAGAATTAGACATCCCCAGTTATTAATTTCCTACACTCACCAGATCTGAACACCCTGTTAAAAAACTTCACACCCATGAGTAGAGGTAATGCAGCCTGATGATATTGACACCACATCAGATACCTAAACCCCATTTTAAGCAGGGGGAACGCTCTCTGGTGGGGTTTAGAAGCCCATCAGATAGCGTTCCCCCCTGATGTCATTTACGTTGAGTTGCAATAAATGCTAAACTCTCTGCAGGTTCTTGTCTTTGTCGTCCGCTCTATTCAGCTGGCTTTTGAAACACACAACGAGAAGGTGGGGGCTGGGTGGTGAGCGTGAGAAACGCAAAAGTAATGCAATAGTTACTTTTACTAGTAACTAGTTACTTTTAATGTGGAGTAACTCAGTTACTAACTCAGTTACTTTTTGGAAGAAGTAACTAGTAACTATAACTAATTACTTTTTTAAACTAGCGTGCCCAACACTGCTCTTTGGTCACATTATTGCCAGTCCTTTCTTTCCAGGCCTATTCATGAGTTTATATATAAAATCCTTCTGTTGAAGCATAGTTAAAAAGCAATGTGAGAGATTGTGGATATATATGGTTCGAAACATCGGGTCCCAGTTTAGTTTACTTCTTAATCTATTGCCCCAATGTTTTGAAGGCCACAGTTGTTTAAACCCATATGTTGTGATCCTTTTCAAATGAATAAGACTCAAGCTGCCGAACTAAGCACAGATGTGTATATCAAAGATATCCAATGGTAGAATCTATTAGAGGTGGGTATCCGGCAGATATTGTAGAGTAAGATCTGCTATAGATGTTGAGGGTATCCTATACCAGGATCTGCTACAAATGTTTATGCAAAGGGAATCCTATATAACAATATGTTACAGATCAGATCTTCTGATATATACTTGGAAACACTTTGGATATATGGCAGATGTGTAAACTTAAGATACTGTTTGATCTCTCCAGATATCAGGCCTTTTTGTCCAGGGTGTCTTGACTTTCAATTTCACATTTTTCATAGATTTTCTATTTATTATTTCTTTAGTAAGATCCAAGATATTTCTGTCAATATTGTATGTTATTAATGGGGGAACCAACAATTTCTTCTACTTGTGTACCAGGACATTTGGACGTCAAACTAATCCACAGTAAGGACTAAATATTGTCTCTGGAGGTAGGCCTACTGGTTTCAAGTGTTCTGCTTAAAAAAGTGGTTTGGAAAAGTATATGTATTTCTGCTTACAGTTATTGTGTTTCATAAAAAATATGTGTTTGTTTTAATTATTTCATTATAGTATTTCGAAAACCAGAATTGATGAGCAGCTTCAGATTCGGACTGTTTTTATTACTTACTTTTAAATTTCAGATGTTATGATCCTTTACTCAGTACTTGAGTTGTTTTTTCACCAAATATGTTTTTATTGTTTCTTAAATCATTTATTGAATGGCTACTTGAATTTTAGAATTCCACATGATTTGGCTGAGCTTTGATTATCTGGTGAATTGGACAGGTGAATCTAAAAATATTGGGGCAATATAACTTCTCTCATTGGCATAAAGCAACTAGCATCATGGGGAAAAAATGAAAAACTAAATACATTAATTCATAGTCTAAAGAAAAATCAAGAAAAAAAAAACGTACTAACTTTGAAGCAAGTTGGTGGCAGTGTTATCACAAATTCTCAAACCTTTTTCTGGGCTAAAAAAATACTGTCTTTTGTTGAACTAAAAGATGACCTAAAATGTCATAGTGAATGTCAAAGTAGATCACTTGCTTTTCAAGTTAGAAAAAAAACAAATACATTTTGATGCAGCTTTGTCAGGACTCCTGTTTTTGTGTTTGTGTTTCTGTGTTTGTCTCCCTTCATCCACCAGGAGGCGCCTGGTTCTGGTCCGCCTCCTCACACACCTGCTGATGGTTTCCTCGTTAACGGAGTGTTCTTAAGCTGCTAACTGCCACTACCTCAACGCCAGAGTGTTTGCCAGTTTTGGGTACTCTAGCCAAGCTGAGTTTTGCTGAGTCAAACTGAGTTTTTGTCAACCTGAGTTTAACTTTGTTTTTTGTCTTTGCCTCTTGGCAGGAAGTCATCCTGCAAACTGGTTTTCTCGGACCTTCTCTCCCTGGAAGGATCAACTGAGCTTCAGACTGAGCTGTGGTTGAAACAGGATGTTTGGATCCACTTTCCCCAAGAGATCGTTTGAGCTTCTTACTGAGAAAGGGATTGTTCTCCACTACGACCCGTTCAAGTACCGCAGGAAATCTGAGTGGCAGTCAGTTTCTCCGTTCACCAACTAACAACCTAATTCTGGGTAACCCTGTTCCGCCCTCCACCAAATCAGACAAACACTGGAACCACGGCACACAGAGAAGGATAACACAACTTCTCTGGAAACGTGAGTCGGAAACCAAATCCTCTTCTCCAATTTCACAAGTCAAATTCCCTACTGAGCCAGAACTAACCACTGTGTCTTCCCCTCACTTTACAATTCCGGTTGAGCAGTGTTCAGAGCAACACTTCTCCCTCTGTTTAACTTCTTCAATAAACCCGTTAAACCTTTTCCCTGGTCTCTCTGTTTTGGTTTTCTGCATTAGGGTCTGAACTTTGTAACATCATGACAAGCTTAAGTTATAATCAATCATATTCAATAAAATGCTTTGTAGAAAAGGCAACTTTTAAAAAATGTTAATACCTAACAACTCTAAATCGATCGGCGCCCATAAGTTACACGCTTTATTGTAACTCTACCGCGTCTAGAGACATTTTTCCACTTTCACAGTGACTCAGTCATTCTGATTGGTAGGATAGTAATTGTAAAAAAGCAACTTTGAATACATGTTACTGACTCTCAATTACATTTAGATGACTTTGACAAACAAGGCCATTGTAACATATGAATCTGCTTAAATGTTTCATCGGTGTCTGGCTTTCTAGAGGTTTCCTGAATGTTCATAGAGCCCCAGCTAAAACAGCAATAAGAGACAGTGGAACAAAAAGAGAGGAGGAGAATATTCTAATCCTATTAACTCTGCCTTATCTAATCCATCAGAGGCAATAGCCCCAAGTCATTCAAATCCATTTGCAAGTGTTATATAATACCAACAATAAAAACGCTATTAGAATAATAATATAACTTGGCTGCATAGAAAAATCATGTCGGATATGCGAAATACGATGCTGATTGGATCAGAGGGAATTAAGAAGACCATTCTGCATGGAGGAACAGGAGACCTTCCCAAATTTATAACTGGAACAAAGGTACTGTTGGTTTTATCAACTTATTGAAACATTTTAATCAAACTTATCTATCTATCTATCTATCTATCTATCTATCTATCTATCTATCTATCTATCATCTAGCATATTATCAGTAAAGATTAGTTATATTTTAAATCTCGGAGCAGAGTAGAGCCAACCAAATAGAAGCCGTCTGTAAAGACTTTACACAACAGACTCCATATGTCGCATCAGTTAATTTAACCTCATGGTCGAGTAAAAGATGATAAAAACCAAGCATCTTCAGTGACCTATTAATCCCTCCCAGATACAGGTAATACTGTACCTCATAGACTACTTGGACAATGTTTTTACTCGCTTACTTGACAAGTAAACTTACCCCAAAAATCTAATCAAGACTTTCCTACAAAACGCTAACTATCTAGAAACAAAAAGTAAACTAACTGTCCAACTTTATTAAAGTTTAGCAAACTAATCATACCAGGCGTTCAGTATCAAAGATAATAAGTGTAGCTTTATTGCTGACTTTACTGTAGCCTAACCATAATTATTAACACCAAATAAACCTATTTATAATTGTAAGACCTAAAGAGAAAATTCTACAATACAAATGAATTAGTCATAGTTTAACTATCCATCTTTAACTCACCTTAACTAACATTGCTTAACTAGCTTTAAAAAGCCAAATCAAAAGTAATCTTCTATATTGTGCCAGCAAAACTAACATTATTGAAATAATCTTTGTGTTTTACATATATTTATGCAGATTTACTTTGTCTTGTTTAAAGGTTTTCCTTCATATCTTCCTAAAATTGTCAAAGGTGTCCAAAGTATTAATGTTTATTACTCAAATAGAAGCAGAAATCCTACTGTTTAAAAACAATTTTGCAGAAGAGTATCAACTCAACTCAAGTAAAAGTGTAAAACTGCAATTTTTAAAACAACTTTAAGTATAAATTAATGCAGGAAAAGTGTTAAGGACAGATGCTTTACTTTACTACACTATTAAATGAAAAATTTTCTACAATTCTAGATGATAATTTCCTTTATTTTCTTAGTTTTATAACTAATGGTAACCGTGTAAAATTTAACTTTGCAACATCTTGAAAAAGTATTTCTTTTAGCTTGTGGTGAACAACAAGTAGATGCAGTACCGAGTCCAACCACAAGGGAATTAATTGTCTGGATGAAACAAATTATGTTGACGTTTTTGTTTTTTTATTTAAATACCAACAGGCTATAAAAAGAAATGAACTTAAATGAAACAAAACTAATAAGTCTATTTTTAAAATGTAACAAGTAGAAAGTAGAGATAATTTCTAAGAAATGTAAGGCATAGAAGAAAAAAGTTGTCTAAAAAAAAGTTGCTCCAATAAAGTATAGAATGCCAAAATTTCTACTTAATTAAGGTAACAGAGTATCTTTACTTTGTTGCTTGACACATCTGATAATTGCTGGCTGCTTATTTGTAATATATATTATATATAAATATCACCAAGGCTTATTAAACAGATTTCAGGTTGGTGCAAAGAAGTGCATAACTACTTTATGTTTGTTACTTATATGATTTAGGCTTTTTTAATTCTTTACTTAGATTCTGAGCCTGATGAACATAATAATGTAATTTCAGGTATTTAAGAGCCAGTGCTCATATCTTAAAGACATTGCAGGTTTTTGATTTCTTTAAACTTTTCTAACATATTTTAATTCATGTTGGACTGATGGTTGTCTCTTCGATTTAGTTGTTGCTTCTTGTGATTCCAGGTGACATTCCACTTCCGCACACAGCTTTGTGATGACGAACGTACGGTGATAGATGACAGCAAAAAGGTCGGGACGCCTATGGAAATAGTGATTGGCAACATGTTTAAACTGGACATCTGGGAGACCCTGCTATCGTCCATGAGGATCGGGGAAGTGTCCGAGTTTTGGTGTGACACTGTTGTGAGTGGGAGAAAAAAAAATCCATTAATATATTATATTTGTTTGTTACTTTTTATAAATTATGTTTTATTTTCAAATCAAAGTTGGCGGTGTGCTCTATATATATGTGTACTGCACTCTGTCAGAGACAGATGGGTTCTGACATCCTGTCGTTAATCCACAACGATCTCACTCTCTAATCGGCTCCGACTCCTTGTGAATCAGCACTACTGACCGGCCTCCACTCTGATTAGATTTGATAGGGATAAAGGCATCTTTTTTACTTTAAATAACACAGCTACTTAACCTGTTCTGATGGTTGTGATGAAATTCAGACAAGTCAGAATTATGAAGCAACTTGTAGTAAAGGTCATTGCTTTTTAAAAACCAAACCTTTTGCCCCGACTCCACATTTTTCATTCTTTCATTTTTTGTGTTTCCAAAAATATAGACATCAGAATAAGACGGATCAACTTTTAGTTGTATAGAGATTAAAAAGGGATTGTCAAGACCTACATAGAATATATCACCTATGGTTAAAGCTGAGAACTTTATCTGCACAATTTGAATATCTAGGATATCCAATAACATTTATCCCTGACTCTGGGACTATGAAAATAAATAGTTAAATGATCAAACATGCTCTAACTATCTCTGCCAGAATGTACAGCTCAGTTGTAGCTAAGTTTTTTCTCTTGCTTCCTTCCCATTACAACAACTTCCCATTCCAATCACATATCTAGGTTTCGGCCATGTTTTAGTCATTTACTTCATATATTTACTCTATATTAATATATATTAAGATCCCTAGAGACGTAAGTAAGCCTCATACCTGTCTCATCTGAATTTACAGAGTTTTATCCTTTTTTTGGTGCTGCTCCAGGACCGGTAATAAGCCAAACTTTGAACCAGCTTTTATGCCAAAATGTTATGAGGTTGAAGTTCTGAAAACTCTAACGTGTAATCCACTCTCATCTTTAGCACACGGGTGTTTATCCGCTTGTGTCCAAAAGCATGCGACGCATTGCAGAAGGCAAAGACCCAGTAGAGTGGCAGGTCCACACATGTGGAATGGCCAACATGTTTGCATATCACAGCCTGGGCTACGATGACCTGGATGATCTGATGAAGGAACCAAAGCCGCTCTTCTTTGTCCTGGAGCTGCTGAGGGTGAGAAAAGAACAGCTGCTACGCTGCATCAATTACCTAATAAAAAATTATAAAAACAGCTTCTTTAACCAGCAGTATCTCCTGCATTAAATCAGAAATGACTTTCAAAACTCTGTGTGTTTGTGTGTGCGCAATGAGCAGGTGCAGCAGCCCAGTGAGTACAACAGGGAGTCATGGGCTCTGAGTGACGAGGAGAGGCTGAAGGCAGTCCCTGTGCTGCACGGCCAAGGAAACAAGCTGTACAAACAGGGACACTACCATGAAGCTACGCAGAAATACAAAGAGGCCATCATCTGCATTAAGAATGTCCAGACCAAGGTTAGCATACTTAACACATCTTGTGGAAGCCCTGTTTTGTTATAAACCAAAGAAGGAACTGTTTTGTTGCTTTTCCTTGTTATAAAGAATTTTTTCCTCGTCAGGAAAAAGCATGGGATGTCCCATGGCTGAAGCTTGAGAAGATGGCGAACACTTTAACGCTCAACTATTGCCAGTGTCTGCTCCGCATGGAGGAGTACTATGAGGTCATCGAGCACACCACTGATATCATCAATCAGCATCCAGGTTGGAATAACAAAGGTCTTTCACAGGGGTGCAAAGACTTAGCAAACCAGGTTTTCTGCTCTAGATTTGCTAAATCAAGCCAGTTTACTCTCACTATTGCATAAGTAAACGATTATATATGTGTATGAATCAAGCTCTGAGGTTTGTTAGAAAACCTAAATAAACAAACGCCATTATGAAGACCAAGGAAAACTATAGACAGGTCAAGGCTGTGAAGTAATTCAAAGCAAGGTGAAGCAATGAAATGATATAATGAAGATAAAAGGCAATAAACTCCAAAGATGAAACTTGATTGCGGGTGTGCAGCTTAGAAGGAGACCAGTGACACTGACAACCGGCACTCAGTATGTCTCTAATTTTAGTTACCCAGCAGCAGAGATGAGTTATCTGGACTGAACAAGTCATCTCTATATCATATATTTGTTCTTCCCAGCCAGTGAAGCAGGGGATTCCAATCTGCATTGTGAATTAACCTGGACAGAATGCACTCACTGGGTTCAGTGCCTTGGCAGATCAAATACATGGCATAGAGATGACTTGTTGAGTCCAGATTCCCCATCTCTCCCCAGCAGCATAAAAAAATTGTTGTGAGCACTAATCAGAAAAACACCCAAATGTTTCCTGGCAAGCCTGCTGGTTCTTCAAAGGACTGACATAGCATGCAACACTTTCAGATCTTTACTTGTAAAACATGAACTTTCATTACACAGTCGCACATCATTTTCCCATGCCGATTGAATATATTCAATAAATATACTAAACAATATAGTTGAAATTTAACAAAATATGGAGAAGTTCAATCTGAAAATAGTTTTGCAAAGCCAATCTATTTTCTGCATTTTAAAACATTTACAGTCAGTTCAAAGATTTTGCCTCACTCTGTTCTGCAGGAGTTGCAAAGGCTTTCTACCTGCGAGGGAAGGCCCATAAAGAAGTATGGAATGAGGCAGAGGCCCGGCAGGACTTCAGTAGGGTGCTGGACCTCGACCCCGGCATGAAGAAGTCCGTGAAGAAGGAACTGGCGGTGCTCAACATGCGCATGGAGGAAAAGAACCAGGAGGACAGGAACAAATACAAAGGCATGTTTTGACCTGAAGACTGAAAACGTATCTTGTTTTTTTTATTATTATTCTAACCGACACAAACGGTGACCTCAACACTGCCCGAGGTCTACAGGTCTGCAGATCAATACCTGGAAAACGAATAAGAAAAATTAGACATTTAACTTTTCAGTAGTGTTTATGTTTTTACACTTGCCATAAAATGTGAACATAACTAAAAGGTTAAATCAAAAAGTATAGAAAGTGCTATAGATAATTTATTCTATTGGTTTTAGGATGCCTGTATTTTTTTTTTTATTCTTGCACAATATTCTAAAATCTCAATAAATTATAACAAACTTTGAAATCTGGGATGTTTTATTGCCTAATGAAAAATGTGTGTATTAAAAATCTTTATCCAAAGGCAGCAAAAAGTGGAAATACTGGGCTGATGTTAAAACTAGAACCTCAGGTGAAACATTTTCAACAAGTCCTTTATTAGAAGGATACTGAAACTCAGCACTTTAAGGCAATCTATTTGGAATACAATTATGGTACATAAGTGAACAATCAGGGTGTATAAAGTAAAGGAGGATCACCCACAACAGTTCAGAAGAGGCCAATTATGCTCTCTAAGCAGATAACCAGCTTATAACTGGTCAGACTTCCATTTTCTCTATAATTAAAAGTGTCAAAAAAGCTGTGCAATTAGCAAATTACAGCTACAACATTAATCATATGCTTTTATTCTGTATTTTTCTTAAATGTATTCATTAGAATAAACACTAAAAATCAATAAGTTCTATTATTATAGCTATGATAAATTGTGTTATTTTAGTAGTAGTGATCATACATTTGATGAAGTTATATTTATTTTTAATAAATAAAATTATTTTTTATTATTTTTTTCCCCAAGTATTATATTATGTAATTCCCCAATTCTTGTTATGTATTAAATCAAATGGGTTTCCTTTATGGGCTATCTACACATAATTAGTTTTGGTATTTAATCCAATTTTCCTTTTACTAACAATCATTGGATTATTAATTTATCCTTCAGTCATTCCTTTTATTAACTTTAATTATTCATCCTTATTTTCTATGGCACTGTAAT